ATAGTCATCATGCTGTACAACAGGTCTCCAGAACTTATAACATTATATTTAATTCTGATCAAAGTACTAGATACACGGAGTTAAGAACAAAATGGTATCTGGATCAAGAAATCCTCAGTAAAACAAGAAAAGAAGAAAAAAAGAACAAAATGATAATAAAAGGCTTATATCAAAAAGCATTTACTCTTCCCTTTCCTTTCTTGCCTTTGAGTCCTAATTCCCAGACGCCATCACTTTAAACCAATTTTGCTACTTCCTCTGGTATTTATCTTTTTTTTTTTTTTTTGAGATGGAGATTCGCTCTTGCTGCCCAGGCTGGAGTGCAATGGCATGATCTCTGCTCACCACAATGTCCACCTCTGGGGTTCAAGTGATTCTCCTGCCTCAGCCTCCCGAGTAGCTGGGATTACAGGCATGCACCACCACACCTGGCTAATTTTATATTTTTAATAGAGATGGGTTTTCTCCATGTTGGTCAGGCTCATCTTGAACTCCCGACCTCAGGTGATCCACCCACCTTGGCCTCCCAAAGTGCTGGGATTACAGGTGTGAGCCACAATGTCTGGACTATCATCGTATTTCCAAAGAATGTTTATGTTGCTATTTCTTGATCTGTTTTCTTCAGTATCTGTCAATTCCTGGCATAGCACAGTATAGGGCTTACCTTCCTTATGAGGTCTTAATTTCCTTCCCTCCATTTCACCAATTTGACTGGATCACAATCTTATGAAATCAAAAGCATTTACATTCTTGTAGCTATCTAAATGTTGTTCCCTAACCAAAGTTCTGCACTGAAATTGTTTCATTTCTTTCCTTATTTCCCCCAGAGTTAACAATTGCTTTAGACTTTTTTCCCTCATTTGCTTACTTATTTATTTTTAACAATTACCTACCAAGTTTTTCAGATGCTTCAACCATTCTATCAAATGCCTAGTGGTAATTATCCAAAAACTAAGATACATTGGATACTCTATCAGCCCCATTATTTTCCTGGAGATTTCTCTTTCTCCCTTGCCCTCCGTCCTTCTGCTCCAAACTGGACTTGGCTGTCAACCTGTGGCACAGCTGGCATCCTGGCATGTCTGGCATCCTGGCATGTCTCTGCACCATTGTGTGAATTTCCAGCTGCCTCTTCTGTGTGCATCTCCTGTTCCTTGGCCCCAGATCTTCTTTTTCCTTGGTTTATCCTCTCACTGTGTTGCAGCACATCTGCCAGTGGCTTCCTGAGAAAGAGTGAATGGAAGCCAAGCTTTCTGACCCCACATATTTTAAAATGTCATTGTTCTACTCCAACGCCTGATTAATAGTTTGGCTGGAAATAATGCTCTAATTTAAATGTAACTTCTCCTCACATTGGGAAATGTTGCTCTATTATTTTCTAGTTCCTAGTGTTGTTGGGAAGAAGTCGGTGTCGTGTGGAGTCCTGGCTCTTTATATATGACCTCTTTTCTCTCTATAAGATTTCAGGATTTTCTCTCTATCCTTGGTTTTCTGGAATTTCCCAGTGATGTGCCTTGTTGTAGGTCTTTCTTCGTTCACTATGCTGGTCAATTGGTAGACTCTTCTGAACTAAAAAATTATGTCCTTCTATTGTGGGAAGCCACCAGCAGGTTCATGTGAGCTGGGTAATCTCATTCTTTTCTTCCAAGGACAGAGGTGTCAAGGCCCTGGGAACCTTATAAGTGGATGTGGGGAAAACGTGCCCTAGGTGAATCCAACAAAGCTGCAGCACCCACTGAGCTCATGTCCCAGGGCTAGGCTCTGCCTGAGGAGAATAGACATGGGTGAGACCCACTTCCTGCCAGTCCCATGGTGGGCCTCAGGACACACATGATCCAGGAGGCCCCCAGTTCCGGGCTACATTTACATGCCCCTACCTGCATGCAGCATTCAGTGAGCCACAGGACAACTTAGGGGAAGGGGCAGCTCCAGAGAGTAGGACAGGAGGGAGGTAAATAATCATGGAGTGGGGAGTGGCCTTGTGGGGAAGGGGCAAAAGCAGGGTTGTGTATGCGTGTGTGTGTGTGTGTGTGTGTGTGTGTTGTGTATTGGGGGAAGTGGGGAGACAGTTGTAGTTTTGTCTGCCCCTTTTCTGGCCACTGCACCCCTTTTTTCATGAATAGTTTTCATGGACTGAATGTCTCTGTCTCCTCCAAATTCATATGTTGAAGCCCTAACCCTCTGTGTGGCTGCATTTGGAGATGAGGCCTCCCAGGAAGTCATTAAAGTTAAATGAGGTCCTAAGGGCGGGGCCCTGATTCAGTAGGATTAGTCTAAGATGAGACACCAGAGAGTGCACTCACTGTCTGCACAAATACAAAGAAGCAGTCACATGAGCACACAATATGGCAGCCACCTATGGGACAAGAGAAGAGGCTTCAGAATGTAACCTACCTTGCTGGCACTTTGATCTTGGATTTCCCAGCCTCCAGAACTGTGAGAAATAAATGTTTGTGGTTTAAGCCACCCAGTCTGTGATATTTTGGCATGGCATCCTGAACTGACTAATACATCTCCCCACTCTATTTCAACCACATGACACTAGAGGGCTTGGAAGTTCTAGTGTCCCAGCTACCCAGCCAATCCAGACCAGACCAAGCAGAAACTTTCTTCTGGAATTCTCTGAAAAGGAACGCATGCAGAGGAGCCCCATCCTTTCTTGGGGACAAAGCCAGGAAGATGGAAGCCTCATGCTGCCAACAGCCTCATTCCAACCTTGTGAAGAAAGTTTCTCTGAGAGCACAAAACTGATCTGCAGACTGAGGTGGAGACAGAGAGAAGGCAAGGAGCCTGCAAATCCTGACAGCGCTGGTGACTCTGAGTCCAGGTATTCCTGAGGCCCAGCTGTTCCCTGCCCTGTGCGTGACTAACTTACTGACCAATGAACTTCCCTTCTTGCCTAAGCCAACTCAAATGAATTTTCTGTCACTTATACCCAAAGAGTCCTGACTACAATGGCAGGGCATGGCAGGGTTGGGCTCACTGGGGCAGAGGACAGTGTGGGTGTAATCAGCTGTGACAGGCACACAGGAAATGCAGTTATCGCCTGGACTCCATGAGGTCTTCCTCCAGCCCCGACTGCAAGCAAGGCTAGGCTCATACGCTCAGTAGGTCAGAGCGAGCGATTTGGTCAGAGGTGCCATGCTCAGGGCCATCGTTCTATGGGCCAGACTCTTCAGCATCAAAGGCTTTGCCATCAGAGATAGTTTTAGTCATATCTTGGGTTCACTTTATCAATTGCTGTTCTCCCACTTTCAGGATCTTTACACTAGGCTGCCCCACGTGGGTGTTAGGAAGCCATAGGCATCCTGGCCAGAAGCCCAGACCACGAAAAGGACTTCCACCAGCCTGCCCAGGGTTCCAGAGGGTAGGACCGGGGGGTGGTGGGAGGAGCACAGCCTGGGCAGTCATGGCATGCCCACCACTCTTGATCTGTCTCTTGGAACTTTTCACCCCTCAAGTTTGGGCCCTGGTGGGGCACACATGGGAAAGACAATGAATGCCCATGTCTCCGACTAGTTTCCCCATGAGAAGTGGTTATTGCACCAAGCACCCTCCTCCATTAAAACTGGACGGACCAAGGGCCACTTTCCTAATGGATGGGTCTTCTTCATGCATCTCATGCTCCCAACAGAGCTCCCTCCCTCGGATGGGAATGTGCCATGCCAGGAGAGCCCTCTGGACCCAGCCTCCAGCCAAAGCCAGTCTCCCTGCCATGCAGGCCCTAGAGTTACACTGGAGAGTGACAGGCCTCACCTGGAAATTTCTTGCTGAAAAGTATCAGTTTCCCACACAAGTACACCCTGGCAGTTTAATTCTAATTAAACCCAGAAGGAGACTGCTGCTTCAGTCTTGACTGCTTGAAAATTAGGCTGTGTAGAGCTTTTGTTTGCTGGAAATTGTGGAGTCAGACATTGTGCAGATTGACCCAGTAGCTACAGAAAGTACACACATAGGGCACCAAACGACAAGTGTGCACACACACACCTGCACACAGCAGAAAATCAAGAAATAAACTATTTTAATGTCAGCTGTCATGGAAGTTTTGTATCATTTTCCCAAAAAACACAAATTTTATTTTATGATTTAGTCTTTTTTTATTTAGAATTACTTAAGGAAAAGGAGAGCTGAGTGCAGTGGCTCATACCTGTAATCCCAGCACTTTGGGAGGCTGAGGCAGGAGGATCACTTGAGCCCGGGAGTTTGAGACCAGCCTGGGCAATATGGTGAAAACCCATCTCTATAAAAAATACAAAAATTAGCCAGATGTGGTAGCACGTGCCTGTGGTCCCAGCTACCCAGGAGACTGAGGTGGGAGGATTGCCTGAGCCCAGGAGGCAGAGATTGCAGTGAACTGAGATCACTTCACTGCACTCCAGCCTGGGTGACAGAATAAGATCCCATCTCAAAAAGAAAGAGAGAAAGGAAGACAGAAAAAGAAAGAGAAAAGAAAAGAAAAGAAAGAGGAGGGGAGGGGAGGAGAGGAATGGGATCCTGATATCTGGTATGGGGAAACTTAAGTGGATACATCTGAGAACTTCAAACCTCCAGTTTCCATGGAATGCTCTGGGCTAAAAGAAGTAGCCCTCTTTCCTTGCTAAGAGAAGGGCAGCTGTCCCTTGCCTGGAGACTAGGCAAAGAACCCCCAACAAGGCCTTACAGCAGGATGAAGTGTGTCATCATTGCTGCCCCACATTGACACCAGGCTATGGCTGCATCATGGCCCAAGGTCACAAGCACAATCTGCTCTGGGAGAATGATGTTTTTTCCAAAAATGTTTCAGGGGCTCCCTGGTAATTAAAAAAAAAATCCATACTTAAAAGCAACACACCAATAGAGGCAAGCAAACCATGTTTTTCATAAAACAACTATCAATGGTGATGACACACGGATCTCCCCTTTCAGAACCCTGAGATTCTCAGGGCCGTTACCCTAAGGGCTTTCTGCAGACGAGGTAACTATCAGAATCACATGGAGAAGATCAGAGCCTGGAAGGACATTTGAGATTTTTTTATTTCAACCTTCTTCATTTACACAGAGACAAAACTGAAATTCAGAGAGTTCTGGTTTCTCAAGGCACACCACTAGTCAATAAACACAGAGCCAGAAGCTAGATCCAGCTCAGTGTTCTTTTAAAGCTTTAAAAATTCCTCTCTGCTAGTAAAGCTTACAGCCTGGCAAGAATATAATATATACACACAAATACAGTTATAATGGTGAAAACTTGGAAACAACGTAAATGTCCAACAATACAGGCTTTAATTCTCTATAAAGTGAATATCAGATAGCCATAGAAAAGACATTAAAGACCCAGAAGTGTTGCTAACTGAGCAAAAATACGCCATTTCAGGTCAGATGCAGTGGCTCACGCCTGTAATCCCAGCACTTGGAGGCTGAGGCAGACAGATCACTTGAGGTCAGGAGTTGGAGACCAGCCTGGCCAACACAGCAAAATCACATTGTAAGGTACATGGATGTGCTTTGGTCAAGGAATAGGCCGAGGCAGATAGCCAGGCCTGCATGACTCGAGTTTGGCGTGCAAGCACACAGCTCCACTTGTAATATAACCTGTTTGTGTAAGTTCATACCTGGCTTTATGCCACTATTGTCTGTAAAAGGCATAACTGCCCTGTTGACGTTGTGCATAAGAGACATGGCTCTTTGGGACTTGGCTCAGCTTGGCTCAACATGGCTTGACATGATGAGAACACTGGCACCCAGAGAAAGAGAGAGCCAAAGCTGTCCATTTTGCAGACAGATGGGAGGGAGCCAGGACACAGCTGGGCGTGCTCATGCCCAGAGAGAGAAGGAGTTAAGCTGCTGACCCTGAAGGCAAGAGAGAGCCGGCTATGCAGCTGTGTGTGGGGGCAGCTGGCTCAAGATGCTGAGACAGGTGAACAATGTAAGAGTAAGCTGCTAATAAGAGAGCTAGTGTAAGGAAGCTGTTAATGAGAGCTGCCATTGAATAAAACTATCTTTCACCTGCGTATGTCCCCCCGGAGTGTTCTTTCTGCTCACCCACGCACTCCGCTCAGACTTCAGCATGGGCTGGACCTGGACCCTGGGATCTCACACACATAAAAATACAAAAATTAGCCAGTGTGGTGGCACATGCCTGTAATTCCAGCTACTAGGGTGTCTGAGGCATGATGATAGCTTGAACCCAGGCGGTAGAGGTTGCAGTGAGCCAAGATCACGCCACTGCATTCCAGCCTGTGCAACAGAGCATGACCCTGTCTCAAAATAAATAAAGTGAAAGACCATTTGTCCAGTATAAACTCCTTGAAAATATATACTCAAGCATAGAAAAGTCTAGAAATGTCATCAATGGTAATTTCAGGAAAGAATTCTAAGGTGACATTTTTTTGGTTATCTCCATTTTTTTTTTTTTGAGATAGGTTCTTACTCTGTCACCCAGGCTGGAGGGCAGTGACGTGATCAGGGCTCACTGCAACCTCGACCCCCCAGGCTTAAGCGATCCTCCCACCTCTGTCTCCTGAGTAGCTGGGACTACAGGCACATGCCACCACCCCTGGCTAATTTTTGTATTCTTGTATTTTTTGCAAAGATGGGGTTTTGCCATGTTTCCCAAGTTGTTCTCAAGCAATCTGCCCACCTCGGCCTCCCAGAGTGCTGGGATTACAAGTGTGAGCCACGTGTGCCAGGCCTACATTTTCTTTTCTATAATAGCCATGACCATGGGTTTCATGTACCAACTTTTTTTTTTTAACAATAATATACAGAGTATACTATGAAAAATGTTCAGAGAAAAAGAAGAATACAAAATTGTAAAAATCACATATAACCAGATTTCTTCTTTTTTTTATTTAAAGCAAGAAAGAAACTAAGTAGACTGTCCAGGAAGATGGTTACTTCCACTTTGTGTTTTTCTGCTGAACTCATTAGGAACTCTAAAAAGTTCCAGGAGTAGAATCGCAGGGTCAAAGTATGCTGGCTTTAACTTCTGATTCAGAGAATCCTAACAACTTACACTGTCACCAGCAAGGTCTTTGACTACATGAGCGACTCTCACCTTAAAGCATTTCTCATCTGACATTAGCTGCTCGGCTTTCCGCGGATATATTGACTCCAGAAGGCTTCTTGAGTTCTGTGTGTTCGGCTGGCCTCCGGTGGCCCCATTATTGTTTTCTGCCAGGTAAAGGTCAGTGTATCTGTATACACTGATCTGTATACATCAGTGTATACAGATCTCATCACTCATGATATGCTGCAGCTGGAATCAAGCAAAGGCAAGTTGTTAGTGAACACGGAAAACATTTCTCCATTACACAGTCAATGTTCCTTTGACGGATCCAGTCACTCAACTCAAAAAAGGTTTTGGGTTTTTTTGGCTGGCAATTTTAGAAAATTCATCACAAAAACCACTGTATCATTTTTGGAGAATAATCAAGCTAAGATTTTCAACCATATCAGTGATTCATTGTAAAACTTTCATATCTATTTAAAATAAAAACCATAGAGAACTCAGGTTAATGTACTGTTTATTTAAAATTCTAAGGATCTTTAAATAATTTTCCATAGGTTATATATATATATATATATATATATATATATTTTGTTGTTGTTGTTGAGGCGGAGTATCGCTCTGTCGCCCAGGCTGGAGTGCAGTGACCGGATCTCGGCTCACTGCAAGCTCCGCCTTCCGGGTTTACGCCATTCTCCTGCCTCAGCCTGCCCAGTAGCTGGGACTACAGGCGCCCGCCAGCACGCCAGGCTAGTTTTTTTTTTGTATTTTTTTAGTAGAGACGGGGTTTCACCGTGTTAGCCAGGATGGTCTCCATCTCCTGACCTCGTGATCCGCCTGTCTCGGCCTCCCAAAGTGCTGGGATTACAGGCTTGAGCCACTGCGCCCGGCATAAAATGCATTTTTATTGCATTTTAAATGATTTTAAAATGCATTTTTATTGCATTTTAAAATCATTTAGAATTTGCTTTCATACATATTCTCTCTCATTTGATCCTCATAACTGCCCTGGGAAGCAGGTTGGAGAGAGTTGAGGCCTGTTAGGAGACAGATTTACACAATGCATAAGAAAGCTCACTGTGAGTCACGTGAGGAGGGGACACTTGGAGAATCATGAATGCAATATCTATGTCTATATTCCCAGCCCAACTACAAAGCCTGAAACTCATTAGGTATTTAAGAAATAGCTGCTGAATTATTGCCCACGGGCGCTCAGCTGAAGAAGCAGGGTTGGGACTAACAGTCAAGCTTCCTGACTCCTAGCCCAATACTTCTCCAAACACACCACCTATTTTTCTATATCTGATGGAAAGTACTGTGCTTAAGTTGTGCATAATGTTAACTCACTTTTAATACAGGGCAATCATGATTGACCATATGTAGTTTTCGTGACAATCTTAGGAAACTAATGACTAGAAAGTTGAACCTTTCAGAGTTCCCATTCTCACGTCATATGCTATTTCTATTTTGAAATAAAAATCCTTCCAAATGAAACTTTATCCATTAAAATGACAGAGAAGTGAAAAATAGATAAAAGAAGAAAGCAAAATGTTAATTTCAATATCAGCCAGGCGTGGTGGCTTATGCCTGTAATCCCAGCACTTTGGGAGGCTGAGGTGGGCGGATCACGAGGTCAGGAGATCAAGACCTCCTGGCTAACACAGTGAAACCCCAACTCTACTAAAAATACAAAACGTTAGCTGGGTGTGGTGGCAGGCACCTGTTGTCCCAGCTACTTGGGAGGCTGAGGCAGGAGAATGGCGTGAACCCGGAAGGCGGAGCTTGCAGTGAGCTGAGATCGCACACTGCACTCCAGCCTCAGTGACAGAGCGAGACTCCATCTCAAAAAAAGAAAAAAAAAAAATTCAACATCAATTTGTCTATTTTACTTTAAAATTATAACCACCAAGCCATTCTATTTTTAGGGAGCTACATTCCCTGTGAAGTGTTAGAAACTGTGATAACTATTTATTCTTAACTTTAAGTCCTAAATGACCAGTATGTGTATTAGTAGATAACTGGACACAGAGCAAGGTCAGAAGGGTGACTGAGTGTGGCAGAAAGGGCAGTATCTCCAGCAACCACAGATGGATAAATGACAATGAGTCCAGATAATGGATTCTGATACAACCATTCAAATAATGCTTATGAGTACTCGATAACATAGGGAAAAGCTTCTGATACAGTGTTGCAGAGAGAAAAAGGCAAGGTGGAAAAAATATATGGAAAACATGACTTCAATCATGCATACAGATGCTTCCACTTTATACTTCTTTTTTTTTTTCTTTTTTTTTTTTTGAGACAGGATCTCACTCTGTCACCCAGGCGGAGTGCAGTGGCATCATGATCTCGGCTCACTGCAGCCTTGACTTCCTGGGCTTAAGCAAGCTTCCCCCTCAGCCTCCTGAGTAGCTAGGACTACAGGCATGTGCCACCACACCCAGCTAATTTTTTGTATTTTTAGTAGAGATGAGGTTTTGCCGTGTTGCTCAGCCTGGTCTCAAACTCCTGAGTTCAAGTAATCAGCCTTCCTCGGCCTCCTAAAGTGCTGGGATTACAGGCATGAGTCACCGCCTCTACTTTATACTTTCTTGTTGAAGTAGACTGTATTACTGATGCCCCCCCGCCACACCCTGTTTTTGGATATCCGGCCCCTCCTCGAGTCTCTGGAAAGGGCAGCGCTACACATCCAGGGACAACTATGGAACTCCCACCCCCACTGCTAGGCAGATCAGATTCTCTATCCTCTCATTGGAAATGACCCAGAGATGTTTGATAGATGTTTTGCAGAGGAACATCTGTATGAAAAGGTCCAGTAACACTGGGACCAGGGCTACTGCCAGGGCAAGCCAAAGCCTGAGAGGCTGGAGGAGCCTGGAGCACGTGCCAGGCAGAGCAAAGCACAAGCATGGAGCACAGGTCCAGAGAAAGGCATGCAGGAGAGAAAAATAACCTCCCAGCCCAGTCCTTCCATGGTGTGATCATATGTTGAGTTCTGTATTTAGACTTCTGTGAGATTACCTATTGTATTCTTAATACAAATCCCTCTTAAGCCAGCCAGAATAGGCTAAGATAAATGTAATTTTACTTGGCTGGAGTGCAATGGTGCAATCACGGCTCAGTGTAGTTTCAACTTCTTGGGCTCAGGTAATCCTCCCACTTCAGCCTCCCAAGTAGTTGGGACTACAGTCATGAGCCACCACACCCAGCTAATTTTTTGTATTTGTCTCATAAAAATATTATATTTTTCAGAAGAAATCTTACATATTATACATTGAAAATCACTGAATGCTTTTTCTTCATCTTTTTTTCTGTGAATGTGTAGGTGTTTGAGTCTCTTGTATTTTTTCTTTTACACAGGATATGGGCTTTTTGAAAACTCTTTCATTATCTTCATCATCATTATTCATTACAGCCACTTCAGATTTTCCTCTCTCCAAAAACATTGATGTGCAAACTGGTGTGGGGCCCTGGGTATCCGCAGTCTTCTCAGGAGAGTCAGGAGTGCCTAAAACTTCTTCTTACATAAAACCTGACCTTTTGTAGACATCTGACGATTTGTTTTTGAAATACTTTCCATTTTCTGTAAAATCAAAGGAGGAAAATCATAATGAATTCCTTTTCAAGCTAATTTCTTCCTGAGTAATCTTTCTTTCTTTTAAATCACCCCTCCATCTGCAGCTTTTCTGTAAGTGCCGATTCTGGTTATATGCTTCACTGATGGATATGATGGCTGCTTAAATGGAATATCGCAGTCTTTAAAGAGTTCTTTCTGACTTTCTCAGGTGGCATAAAATGACACTCCGAGAGTCTTTCACCAAACAGGTAGTTGTTCATCATTTCAGCAACTATCTTGGCAATATCCTCAGACTCACACTCCACACTTGCATAGCCTTTGCTATTTCCAGTCCTTTTCTTTCTGGATAGTCTGAACCTTGTAACAGTGCCACACTGGGAGAAATAGAATAGGATCTGGGTTTCGTTCAGTAGGTTAGGTAGGTGGTGCACATACACTACTCCAGGAATAAGTTGTTCTTGTTTGTTTTCCCAGGCTATGTGCTTGTGAACCTGTGCCATGTCTTTTTGAAACTTGGCATCTTCCTGCAGGTTCAGTGACAGGATTGGCCCAGCCAGGTCAGAAAAGGCCACCATGCCAAAAGTAGCGACACCAATTCCATGCAGTTCTCCCAGAAACACCCATTTTCTTGTATTTTTAATACAAGCAGGGTTTCGCCACATTGCCCTGGTCTTGAGCGATCTGCCTGACCTGACTCCCAAAGCACTGGAATTATAGGCATGAGCCACCACACCCACCCTTGACTTTGAAATATATGTTGTACATCCAGTCAGCAGTGAACTCTGGGGAAACACCAAAGATGAGGACAATGAGAGAAGACATACCTCTGATTAAAGGAGTAAAGAAGAGATGCTTGAACTTATGTTTTAAAACATTACTGCAGGCTAGACACAGTGGCTCATGCCTGAGTCACAGCAGTTTGGAAGGCTAAAGTGGGTGAACCGCTTGAGCCCAGAAGTTTGAGACCACCCTGGGTGACATGGCAAAACCCCATCTGTACAAAAAATACAATAAATTAGCCAGGCGCAGTGGTGCCTGTGGTCCAAGCTACTCATGAGGCTGAGGTGGGAGGTTGAGGCTACAGTGAGCTGAGATCCACCACTCCACTCCAGCCTGGGTGACAGAGTGACACCCTGTCTAAAAAAATAAAAATAATAATAATAATTCACTGTTTTGGGGTTTGGGGTTTTCTGGATGAAACCTCTGTTTCCACTTAAAAAAAAAAAGGTGGAGACAGTATGTATTACTGATTCAAAATCATAACCAGATGATTAGAGTAAATAATTGTATCTATTGTTTCAAAAACCAACCTCAGGATTATTAAAAGTTAGTTTTATTGGATTTTTTTTAAAGCTGAATGATTCACTTAGGTTTGTCACTTCCAAGCCCATGTTTTACTACTTTGTAACCCTATTTGGAAGCAAAACTGCAGCTAAGATTATGATCCAGCCTGAGATGAGAAGTTTCACACAAATACACCACGTATACTCCCCACCACAGTATGATGACACAGCGACCCAACCTTAGGTAAATGGTACCACTGCCAGCAAATGCATTTTTTTCTTTATTTCTTCTAAAAGCAGCAAATGCATTTAACGTTTTATTGAGATTCTCAACAACTGCCATTTGGTTTGTATAGCAAATTGTTTACAAAGTAACATTTTTCCATTTTTGATATTTTCATGAACATTATGTTCTTCAGTTTTAAAGCCCTGTTTCTCTCCCAAAGAAAGATTAATAACTACCAAATAACAATTATTTAGGAAAATAACAACAACAACAACAACAAAACAGCTTTTAAACACTTCTGGAACATGGGTAAGGGTCCAAAGTCAAGACCTTCTGGGCCCAATGGAGGTGCTAGGCTGCCTTAGGACACCATCAGCACTTCCCCATCCACAGCATCCTCAACAACTGGGAGCCACGCGTGGACCCTGGGGGGCTTCCTGTTCCACAAGCTCCCCTCTCTTTTTCCTCTCCACCCTTGCTGTTGGGCCTCCCCTCCAAATCTGCCTAACAAAGGCAGCAGGGTCTTTAATACTGTTCAGCTTTGTAAATGGAGATAGGATACTCTAGAAAACTGAGAGATTCCCTGGTCCAGTCTGAGGGGATTGCTCGCTCAATCTATCGCGACCCTCTCACACAGACCCCCTTAGAGTTGTAAGCCCTTAAAAGGGACAGTAATTTCTCACTCAGGGAACTTGGCTTTTCAGATGCAAGTCTGCTGAAGCTCCCAGCTGAATAAAGCTCCTTCCTTCTTTAACCCAGTGTCTGAGGAGTTTCGTCTGCTGCTAGCCCTGCTACATTTCTTGGTTCCCTGACCAGGAAGCAAGGTGATTGGTGGACTGTTGAGGCAGCCCCTTAGGTGACTTAGGCCTGCCCTGTGGAGCACCTCTGTGGGGGACTCCAACCAGCCTGAGTAAGGCAGATCCAAAGAGCGCTGCCAGGTAGGCAATTGACCCAGAAGGACGCCTCGCCCGAGCAGCATGTGACAGGCCCCTGCGGAAGATCAACATAGTGGCTGAACACTGGGAAGGAACTGGCACTTGGAGTCCAGACATCTGAAACTTGGTAAAACTTGCCCACTCCTTTTGAGTGGAAGCGTGACCTGATCACCCACAGCATGCCTGTACCAGCACTTTGGTTTTTGTTTTTGACTTGATTGGATTGCTTGATACTTTGGTTTTGACCTGGCTTGGATTTGTTGATACTCTGATTTTGGTTTTAAGCCTGGTTTGGTGTAAACTGTAAAAGTGTGTGTGTTCCCTTTTTGCCCATTCTTTGTTTTGTGGTGTGCGTGTGGTGTGAGTGTGGTGTTTTGTCTCAAGGAAGCATGAGTCAGGCACAAAGTAAGCCCAGCCCACTAGGAACTATATTGAAAAATTTCAAGAAAGGATTTAAGGGAGATTATGGTGTTACTATGACACCAGGAAAATTTAGAACTTTGTGTGAAATAGACTGGCCAGCATTAGACATGGGTTGGCCATCAGAAGGAAGCCTGGACAGGTACCTTGTTTCAAAGGTATAGCACAAGGTAACCTGTAAGCCAGGAAGCCAGACCAGTTCCCATACATAGACACTTGGTTACAGCTGCTTTTAGATGCCCCCAACAGTGATTGAGAGATCAGCAGCATAAGCAGCTGGAAGAGGCAAGGAAAGACCAGCAGAGAGAGAGAGAGAGAGAGAGAGAGAGAGAGAGGAAAGAGACAAAGAGGTAAAGAGAGAGAGTAAGAGACAGAGAGACAAAGAGGGAGTCAAGGTGAGAGAGGGGGAGAAAGAGAGAGAGGCATAGAGAGAGGAAGAGACAGAGGCAAAAGGAAAGTCAGAGACAGAGACAGAAAGTCAAAGAGAGAGAGAAAGAGAGAGATAGACAAGTAGTTAAAAAAAAGTGTACCCTATTTCTTTAAAAGTCAAGGTAAATTTAAAACCTATAATTGATAATTAAAGGTATTCTCTGTTACCCTATAACACTCCAATACCACTTTGTTGTCAGTGTAAATAAGGGCATACCCTGAAAGCACTGAGGCCACTGATAACCCATAGCCTTCCTGTCAAAAAATCCTTAACCAAGTATCCTGCAGATGGCCCAAATGCATTCAATGTGTAGCAGCAACTGCTTTGCTAACAGAAGTAGAAAAATAAGTTTTAGAGGAAACCTGATTGTGAGCACACCTCACCAGTTCAGAAGATACCTAAGTTAAAAAAAAAAAAGGCAAAAATGTAGCTTACTAACTTAAAAATCTTAAAGTATAGGGCTATTCTGTTAAAAAAACAAAACAAACAAACAAACAAAAAAACATGATTTAACATTAACCACTGAAAATTCCCTTAACCCCACAGGTTTCCTAACAGGGGATCTAAATCCTAATTACCATACAAAGGTCCAACCAGACCTAGGAGGAACTCCCTTCAACACAGGATGATAGATGATTCCTCCTGGGTAATTGCAGGGAAAAAAAAAAAAAGCCATCTATACAAATTCTAAGTTAGTTTGGACTAAACAAAGTCTTATTAATAGTAAAGGAAAACTGAAATCCCAAACTTACAAGACTTTCAACAAAGGTAAAGTTTGTTAAAAGTTAACAGTGTAACATGTATTATAGTAACTTCTAATCTTGTGGCCTTAGACAGTCTAGTCCACAGACATAAAGGAAGTTCACTTTGGAAAAGAGTGGGTATCATCTTTGAAAAAAAAAGGAAAAAAAAGGGCGCAGAATTTATGTAGAAAGAATGTTATATGGTAAATTCTTGTCCTGAAATAAATTAACTGGTTTTTTAAAGAAAGAAATGTTTATAATAAGTCAGAAAGTTCAGACATGTCAAAGAATTGTCTGCAAAAGTCATGAAAAAAGAATTTATGCAAGAAATGTTGTATAATTTAAAAGTAATTAGGCCTCCTGAATGTAAAACTATTGAAAAAACAGTTTATGTGCAAGATGTTTAAAGAAAGTAAAAGAGGGGCGGAGCAAGATGGCCAAATAGGAACAGCGCCAGTCTCCAACTCCCAGCGCGAGCGACACAGAAGACCGGTGATTTCTGCATTTTCAACTGAGGTACTGGGTTCATCTCACTAGGGAGTGCCGGACAATTGGTGCTGGTCGGCTGCTGCAGCCTGACAAGCGAGAGCTGAAGCACGGCGAGGCATCGCCTCACCTGGGAAGCACAAGGGGGAAGGGAATCCCTTTTCCTAGCCAGGGGAACTGAGACACACAACACCTGGAAGATCGGGTAACTCCCACCCCTATACTGCGCTTTAAGGAAACGGGCACACCAGGAGATTGTATCCCACACCTGGCTGGGAGGGTCCCATGCCCACGGAGCCTCCCTCATTGCTAGCACAGCAGTCTGTGATCTACCGGCAAGGCAGCAGTGAGGCTGGGGGAGGGGCGCCCGCCATTGCTGAGGCTTAAGTAGGTAAACAAAGCCGCTGGGAAGCTCGAACTGGGTGGAGCTCACAGCAGCTCAAGGAAACCTGCCTGTCTCTGTAGACTCTACCTCTGGCGACAGGGCACAGGAAACAACAAACGCAGCAGAAACCTCTGCAGACGCAAACGACTCTGTCTGACAGCTTTGAAGAGACCAGTGGATCTCCCAACACGGAGGTGGAGTTCTGAGAAGGGACAGACTGCCTGCTCAAGTGGGTCCCTGACCCCTGAGTAGCCTAACTGGGAGTCATCTCCCACTAGGGGCAGTCAGACACCCCACACCTCACAGGGTGGAGTACTCCCCTTGAGAGGAAGCTTCCAAAGCAAGAATCAGACAGGTACACTCGCTGTTCAGGAATATTCTATCTTCTGCAGCCTCTGCTGCTGATACCCAGGCAAACAGGGTCTGGAGTGGACCTCAAGCAATCTCCAACAGACCTACAGCTGAGGGTCCTGACTGTTAGAAGGAAAACTATCAAACAGGAAGGACACCTACACCAAAACCCCATCAGTACGTCACCATCATCAAAGACCAGAGGCAGATAAAACCACAAAGATGGGGAAAAAGCAGGGCAGAAAAGCTGGAAATTCAAAAAATAAGAGCACATCTCCCCCGGCAAAGGAGCGCAGCTCATCGCCAGCAACGGATCAAAGCTGGACGGAGAATGACTTTGACGAGATGAGAGAAGAAGGCTTCAGTCCATCAAACTTCTCAGAGCTAAAGGAGGAATTACTTACCCAGCGCAAAGAAACTAAAAATCTTGAAAAAAAAGTGGAAGAATTGATGGCTAGAGTAATTAATGCAGAGAAGGTCATAAACGAAATGAAAGAGATGAAAACCATGACACGAGAAATACGTGACAAATGCACAAGCTTCAGTAACCGACTCGATCAACTGGA